CTCCCTTCCGTTTTCCCTCCAAAATGCAAATTAGTTCGTGAGTATTCATAGGAAGGTTTTTAGATTGTAAGACAACGCGTTCTGCCTCTCCAGGCCTCGTTAACAGGCTGCTAGCTGAGATAAAATTTGTGGTCTTTGGCTTTGCATCATAATCGATAATATTAAATTTCAACGCCGGTTAAATTGAACCCAGTTCACGTTAAATTGACTTGTGTAGTCTTCGGGTACTAGCTTACTTAAATTTAATTTTCTGTTTGACTCTTACTTTAAGTTATCTCGCCTTAAGCATTGGCTGAGCTTCAAAGCACCAGAAGTGCCTTCTGCTCTTCTTTGTGCAGGATTGTGTCTGTTGTTGGCATGATCCATAGAACATTATAGGTGACAGTAAGACTTTTCCCAGTTCCGTCCCAATTTTGAAGGAGAATCCCTAGGGAAAAGGGATTAAAGGGTCTCTCACCGCTACTACCAATCCACTCGAGAGAACTTCTGGCTCACCGAGGATTTGTGCCGCAGATACACTACACACTTACTACATACAAGCCTTCTCCAGAACTCGAAACCGAGCGCGGTGATACGGTAGTTAACAATGCTACTGATCAAAGCAATTCCAAGTCACAGGTATTTAGAGGTTTATTGTATTTATTGGTAATTATGTAGAGACATTAGGTATTTTTTAAAGATGTGAAAAATGAGCAATGCCCTCGCCGGGACTCGAACCACGGACCTCTCGAATACGCGCCGATTTTGCTAGCCATTACACGACGAAGCCATGCTAAGAAGGCGGAAGAAATACCTTATGTACCCCCTTTTAAAAGGCGACTGGGGATTAGAGGAACCAAAAGCCAAATCCTGGTGGTGGAGAATCATCATCCAACACCTTTTTTTAGTTCGGGCGCCGCTGTAGAGACATTAAGTTAATTTGAAGCAGAAATCAGGAAAAATAAGCAATGCCCTCGCCGGGACTCGAACCATGGACCTCTCGAATACGCGCCGAGCGTGCTAGCCATTACACCACGAATGCATGCTAAAAAGGCGGGAGAAATACCTTATAATTATAATTGTTGAATATATTCAGTAATATTTCTAATATGTTTAAAAGCAGGAAAGATTTCGATAAATGATAATCATAAAATAATGTTTTCGTGTACCATGCAAACCTATTTCCTAAAATGCAATTCTGATTTCTGGAAATCTTTGTATTAGGTACTGAAGTGATAGGACATACTTAAACTGACAGCATTACATGCTGTTGTAGCTAAGAAGTTTGGGTTCCTCATCTTTATACATCATGAAGGATATGGTTTATTTATAAGGAATTCCATGTATCGATTTTGCTTTCTATGTGTATAGATGAATAAATTCAGTTTGGAGTTAGCCGTATCCGTATTCGGTTGTTCCTTATTAGGGATGTACCTTTCACTGAGGGAATTGTTCGGCATCCTATTACAAATTTCAAATTATTTTTTAAATCATTTCTCTAAAACTACAACATCCAGTTGCAGAAGAAAGGATATTCCCAACAGGATTATGATAGCTAAACTAGTAGGTAGAGATGCGAGAAATTTCATTTCGTATTGCCTACATCAGTACGATACAAATCCTTTCAGATAGCATTCCCCAAGGCTGAATGAAAATAGTTATATGAATGTTCGCTTTAAAATATCATCTATTTATGAATCACGCCTTTAAAACAATAGGGAAATACGTAAATTTATTGTCCACAATTTAAGTAACTAATCCCCTTTTAAACTGTAAACTCTGTACTATTCGATTCCAATATAATTCTCTTCTTGAAAAGAAAAAGATTTCGAAAACCTTAAAAAGGGTTTAATCTCCTTCTTCACTAAAATACGCTGCAGAAACTCTCGCGCTCTTCAGTGAAAACATGTAATACTTTTTTGCTTTGCCGTAATTTAAAATTTTGTACACTATTATATACGAGGGTTGGAACTTTAATAGTGGCAACTATTTATTTACAAGGAATACAAAAGTGATTCATGTCACCATGTTTTACAGTTCTTCAATATAGTCGCCAGCATTGTGTACAACCCGTTTCCAACGATGTGGAAGTCCAGATACCTGTAGCAGCGTCTGTTTTGTTGATAGTTTGAATGGACCGGTCTACTGCTAAGAATCTCAGGAACATTTGGAAGCGAGTGCCACGAAGTGGTTCCTTCATCTTAGGAATTAAGTCATAGTCAAGGGCTTAGAATCTGGGAGTATGGTGGATGGTAAAGCACTTCCCAGCCCCATCGCTTGAACAAATCAGTCACAGCTTGCACTGCATGCGGCCTAGCATTGTCATGCAAAATGAGAGGAGCGTTCTGCAGAAAGTGTCCGTCGTTTTTTTCTCAAAGCTGGTCGGAGATTGTGCTCCAAAAAGGAGCAGTAATACTGCGCAATGACGGTCTGCTGTGGGGGAACGTATGCGTTAGATGACACTCACAGTCGTACACGAGAATCACCATAACTTTCACATTGCTGGGGTTCTGACGAAATTTCGATTGTCGTGGTGACCCGTGATGACGCCATTCGTTTGATTGGTGTTTCAGTTCTGGCTGGTACGATCGGGCCCAAGTCTCATCCAGCGTAATGATACGGCGTAAAAAAGCATCTCCTTCACGCTCATAGCGCTCCAGGTGGGTTATGGCAGCATCGTATCGTAGCCATTTCTGCATTTCCGTCAATTGATGTGGAACACATCGTGAAGCAATTTTTCTCATGGACAGGCGTTCCTTCAGAATGTGCAGCACAGTCGTATGCGCTAATATGTAGTTCACGTGTGGTATACGCGATATTTTTTGGTTTTGTTGCGTAGCGTTTTTACTGCTGTGTTGCCACTATTAAAGTTCCAACCCTTGTAATTTTCCAAAACAAATTATCAGTTATTCAAATTGGAAGCAAATTTGGTTGGAACAGCAATAGGTTTCCTACTTCGCGAAATTTTCAGATAGGGTCTAGAGACATTAGGTTATTTCGAAGCAGGAAAGATGAAAAATGAGCAATGCCCTCTCCGGAAATCGAACCACGGACCTCTCGAATACGCGCCGAGCGTGCAGACCACTATACCACGAAGGCGCGCTAAGAAGGCGGGAGAAATATCTTATAAGGGAAACACTCTACTTTTTGCAGTACAGAACACCTTTTATTTGTTTCTTTTACTATACTAACTTAATATGCCTGTAGCAAAAATAGCATATATGCATCAGAAAAAAAAAATATCACAGCTGAAATATTTGAATTTGCTTAGACCAGAAAATTATTTAAACATAAAGTAAGGGCAATCAAATTAAATACGACAGAGCTTAACTGCAGCTCGTTCCTTGTTGCATCAATGATGAAGAATCGCTTGCTTTTGGCAATTGTTCTCCCTTACCCAGATAAGCGCATTTTTAAAAGGCGTAGTTTTTCTCTGCGTTGAAGCCTGATGATATGCTAGGATGGTAACTAAACCCTTTCTGTAACTTGCTAGACCAAGGACAGAAATCAGTTCTCTTAATTGAGATTTCTGACTTTCGAACGGGTACTCCTGTAAAAAACGTAAGTCGTCTTATATTTATGAATTATTGTTGATAAGCAGTTGAACTTTTAGTTTTTAATTCTCTCCTTAGCTTTACCAGCAGAAGTCAAATAAAAGTTTGTGAATTTTAATCTGTGCTTGTATAACTTGACAGTAATCAAGTTGATAACTCTCCAACACTTAGAAAGTAACTAAATTAAGCTTTTAAAGGAAAACTTTAAGAGGAATTAAGTATTAGGGTTACATAGAGTGTCATTTTTCTTTCATTTCAAAACTCTGCTTGTGCAAATGCAGCCCACACGACCTAAAATTAAAATAAGCACATTACAACATGGTTCACAAATTACCTGTTCAATTTAATTTTTCTGAAAACCACAGGTTTTGAGGAATTATTTTTACTACTCTATCATATATTAAAAGATATGCATTTATTACTTTTCTCATACTTAAAAATACAGATATTACCAGAGAGTACTTTAAAAGAATAAAAGGTCTAGTAACTTATAATAATTATGGTGCATTGAAAGTTCTTAGTTGCTTAAAAAGCGTACAAATGAGAGAAGTTCCTTGTTGGCAGTAAATTTTAGGGAAAAATTTAATATCAACTAGGAACATAAATTCAAACTGAGATGAAATTCTTCGCATCAGTAGCAACAGCTACTGATGCAGCATTAGCAACAGCTAATGTTTTTATTTAATGGCATTTCCTGAGAATGATTATAACTTCTGATAACAAAAGAATACTTTCGGCCATTTTAAAATAACTGATAAAATAAATACATTCCTATAGTAAAAAAAGAAAAGAAAAAAATGCTAGAATAAAAGTAAAAAAAATCGAGACGAAGCCTTCTCGCAGAATTTGAAGTTTTCTGCAGCAGCTGGTGGATAACTTAATAAGATACAGTATGGAACATCCCTTTGTAGAGGGCTTTTAATTCAGTGTTTTCTGTATTGGATCACATTCTGTCGGAACGAAGCAAGGCACTAAATTTATTTCCTGACCTCATAAAATGCAGATATGTCCACGTAAAGGATTTCATTCCAGTTGTCTTCTCGGTTTGTTATCTATCGCGGTTACAGTCTCCGTGTATTACTTTCATTAAGATTATTATAACTACTTGAAGAAGTAATCGTTTTACATAAAAAGATAATGTTAAAATTATTTAAGTAAAAATATTTTTAGCAGAAATGGGCCTAATTTCATTTCGGAATAAATTTAATTGCCTTATTTTCTTTCTTATTTGTGGCTTCGTGAAATCCTTACGAAAGCTTCGATTTACCAAGTGAAACTTTTCTGAACGTATATTATGTAAAACAAACTGTGATACAAGATAATACAAGATGAGTTATTAGTCATTTTATGCATTTTTATTATTAGTTTCTTACATTTTACTAAAAACTTTTCACAAAGTTATACTGAATGGTTTATCATAATTTTAATTACATAAAACACTTTTTAACAGAATCCTTTCCTTTACAGCAGACACTGACCGATGCCACCCAACGCAACCATTCCGTTGCCCCGGAGACACTACTGTATGCATCTCCATCCAGTACTTGTGTGACGGAGCTCCAGACTGCTCAGATGGCTATGATGAAGACCCTAGGCTTTGCACTGCAGGTAATTTATAGTTTTCGCTTTGTGTAAAAAAATACCTCTTAATGTAGGAGAAACTAAAACTGCTGATTTTCCTATAGCAAATATACAATCTAAACAAATTATAATCGAGGTTTATGCCTAAACTCAGTTTTTAACATTTCCGTGATAATGTTTAGAAGAGATATAACCGTAAGTGCTGGTACAAAATCTGTGAAATAAAGTTTCAGCTGTTTTAAATATTATCAAGAGTGTATACAATTACACAATAAAGGACATAAACTGTATTCGATATATTATTAATAAAATATTTTTTGAAATGTATAATGTTCCTCAGTACTTTGTTTATGTTAAAATGTCGAGGAACCTAGGGAACTCAGTAGCGAGTTATCGCGAGTTCAAGTATTTACGAAAAAGTCTCGAGAAGTTTTAAAATACCCTTTTATTCATTCAAAGAAATAATAACGGATGGCCCCTTCTCGGCTTACAGGGAAGCCTGCACTCGGGCTTTTAAATCAGGATAAGAAAATAAGAAACTAATTTCATACTAAACTAAATAGACTTACCCGAAGCTAGACACAAATCCCTAACGTAGTTAACCCCTTATTTTAGCCTAGCCGGAGATTATCAACGGGCATATACAATACGGCTGAGCTCAGTAGTTTTAATAACGAAATAGCGAGACGGCAAACACGCGCCACTAAGGACTTCTGAGCTCTCTCTCTAAGTAAGTTGAACCTTCCTTAAATACTCCACTCCTTCTAACTCATTTACATAAAGAGCGATACTAAAAACTCATTCTCGAAGGGAATAGTAGATGGGAAACGATAATAGACAATAAAGCATGTTTAAAATTAAAATAACTGTTAGAAACTTAAGGTAACCTCTACAAACGTTTAAAAAGAAAACAGGTAACGAGTCGTTATATCTGAGAATAAGTGCAAAGAATGGAAAAGTAAGCGACAGCAGCAAATGTTCTTAATTCTTAAAAATAGTTATACTGATTTCATTGATTGATTTTTCAAAGAAAACTATATATTTTCTCAGGTTCTTTCAGTTACAAAAAGACATAATGGCATTACATGGTTTGCGAAAGAAAGACAATTATTGCATGCAATTAATCGTCTTTAACTGCACATGTGAATAAAATTTCCATTATTTGTATCAATTAAATTCAGAATAATGCTTGAAATTTAATCGATCATCGCAGACAGATATATGCTTTAGTTTATTGTCGTTGGTGGTTATAGGTAAGATATTGCTCTCTAGAAAACTGTTCGCAATATTGTCTAAGGTTTTAAGTACAATTAATTTATTAAGTTACTAACGTAATAAATATAATTTAGATACTCAAATTACCTTCGGTTATAATATTATAAAAGTCTTAAATATAATTTGTATACTTAAATATCTTTTTGCTGTAAATTTTATGTAGATACTAAACATGTAGATACCAATTTTATAAATATGTAGATAAATTTTATGTAAATACTAAACCTACTACATTTACAACAGTTTTATACAACTGTTGTAGCTTGAGTATAGATATTTCAAAGTATGGAATATTCTTACAACGAAATATACTACAATTCTTCAGAGAGCTACTTGCGACTGCAGTAAATTTCGACGCCCTTTTACTAATGGCTCATATTGATTTTATTAAAACGTGCTTTGAAATGCAAAACATAAGCGAAAAAATAATGAGCAAATAAGATACAGCAGACTTTTCGCTTTTGTTCCTTTAAAACACTTATGTGATTTCTTTTTTTAAAGCCAGTTTGATATTGCAAATTTTTATTTCCAATTATATGTGTTTGAAAATTAACAATCTACTGTCTATTATTACCTGCTCAAAGAGGCATTTTCTAAATTAATGGGTTGATCTAACACTGTATTTGCTCTTTATTAAAACGCAAATACAAGTATGTTTTCTTCAATATCAAATGCACACTTAATTTGTAAGGATCTTAAGTTTTACTAACGTTTATTTTATTTTAAATCTTTACTATCACTTCTTAATTTCTACTTCCGGCCAGAATTAAAAGCTTTAACTTATATATGCAAATTGTTGGTGAACGCCAAGTCTTAATTGTGGCTTTTTGCCAAGCGAGAGAGAGGAAGGAGTTAGTAGAAGCAGGCCGCTTGCCTTAGCAGTTTTATTTCGGTTGCTGGTTGCCTTCCAGCCAAGGTTTTAATCCTCTTAATAATTTTAAACGTATTGTAGTGTTAACAGTTCTCTGTACTACATCGCTTCCTGTTAATATACGGCTAACTTCCACGTAGGCCCTTGTTTATTTTCCAAGTTAAGTTAGAGTTTAGTTAATATTTTATATCTTACTTCAGACCCAAGTTTGGTCTCTGTATTCCGAAGTCCGAATTATTGTAAAGATGAAAAATAAGGGTTTCGCATACCCTCCTGTGTATCTGCCTACTTCCCACATTTATGAACATAGCTTTAGTAAGCTCCCTGTTCCGAGTCAGGTTCTTGAATGTTCCCCAAGCAAGTAAGGAGAAACACTGAACCTGATAAATTAAATCAATTTATTTTTGGAAGTTTATGAAGCTTTTTTCATTCAAGATTAAATATCTCTAGTTTATTTTTAAAAACATACTGTTACATTATATAGACTTATGTTTCAGATTTTTGATGCTATAAAACAAAGATTACGTCTTCACTACATTTTGTTTTTGACCAAAATTAAAAAGAAAACTGAGATTTTTTTTCCGTCAGCTTTTTAAACAGACTTCAGCAAGATTGGAATAGTAAAACACTTTTCAACTTTTTATAAAACAAAAGCAAGCGGAATTTGTCCTAAATCAACAAGCAGTGAAAACAAATCTAATAGAACATAGGTTGTCTCATGGAACGTTTTCTCTAATGAGTGCAATTAAAAGACGAAAAAGTCAAAAGCAGTGGCTTCTTTTTCGTGTTTTAAAAAGAAATAGCATTTTGCATGAAGTATCTAATGACATTTATAGGAATGGCCGATTCAAATACCTTTAGATCGGAAAAAACAAACAAATGAAGAAAAGTGGTGGGTAATAAGATTAATGAACATTCACCTAGAATAATTGCATTTGTTTTTAATTATGTATGTACTTCAGAATTGTCAGCTTGACTAAACTATGCAAATTTAAAAATTATTCAAATTCTATGAAGAGAATAAGTTTCAAATTTAACTGACTAATGACATTGATGTAGAGCCTCACTGCAAGTTGCCGCTTTGAGCTTTAAAATTATTTTTAACAATACCAAAAAAGGTGTCATGAATCTTGCTTATTTGAGGGGGCTGGTTGAAAGATGTTAAAATTAAGTGAATGATGTTTGAAGAACTAAACATCAAGATACTATTGCTTGTAGTGCATTGGTTACTTTTTTTTACCGTAACTGATTTTTTTTAATGAAAATGGAAACTGAAGTTATCTTTTTCTCTATCTGACTTTACCTTACAAGTCAGACTTATCATTGCTGTTATATCTGCAAAGTAAATTCATCAAGACTCTTTCGGAACATTGTACATTATAAGTATAAAATGCTAATTTTCAAATGTTTGAAACGAAAATGTTTAATCCAAGCTGGCATGCATTAATCAAAGAAAACCTTTCAATTAACAAATTGTTTCATTTGATTACTACAATATTTTGTATTAAAAATTCCTTTTTCAGGCATAGAGAAGAATAAAGTATGGGTCCTAATATCAGAATCAGTATGCTAAATAATTACCGTATTTTTTTATGAACAATATGTTTAAAGTTTGCTTTCATAAGATTAATGAATGACTAGTAAAGACAATAAATATGATAGATATGTGTCGTAAAGGAGAATCTGAATTTCTGCAACTACATTATTTTTACCAAAAAAAATTACGATTACTTTCCATGAGAGATGGCCTTTGTATGATAATGTTGGGGAAAATTAGCTCATATTTAGAGCAAACCTTAAAAACGCCAATATAGCTAACACTTTCAATTCTAATCTGCATCTGAAAGCGGAGATCAATGATTTTAACCATTTGTTTAAGCAGGTGAGAATTTCCTTAAATAAAAGTATGGAGATAAGTAGAATTTCTTAGAAACATAACGCATTTCTGAGGTAATATCCAGGCCGTATTCTTGTGCGAAGTATTCGCTAGCTTATAAATGCTAAGAGTAAGCATAATGCAAGAATGGGAATTTTCACTAATAAAAACATATTAAACTCCATGTGGAAATTCTAATAGAAACAACTTGTAGAATATTTCAGTGTTTTAATTTCGTTAGAATAATATTTGAGAAGATGTACTTAAACTCCTATCTAGATCTTTTCTCTACTTACCTCAGTCTCCTTTTTCCCATTTCCTCTTTCTGCTCGCCAAACGCCGAAAAAATAAGAGTCACAGTAATAGATCAGTCCTCAGTAGATTAGTCCGGATTCAACTTCCATCACCTGAATAGGCTATTTGTATGGTATTTATGTGGGTTTTTGACATATCTAACTTAAGCAGTTTGCTTTAGAATATTCTTCTTAATGCAGGTAGTTCAGCAGCAACCTTTCGATGTCATTACTTACTTTATATTCAGTTTTTCAAATATACTTCGACCTGATTGATAAGAAATATGTTTATTATCAATTTCAATTTTACTAGCAATTCAAAATTTTCCATTCAAAATTCCGCCTCTATTAAAACAACATTTATTTTCAGAAAATTTTTAATTAATAGAAATATTAATTCATCATCATATAATTATAACATATATTTAAATATAAATGTTTTTCTTTGTAATTCGTTTTATTCTTCACGATACTCTTAAACAGAAATTAAATAATTTAAATACGATCAATGAAAATTGTTCTACCTTTATTAAAAAAGGGAACAAAATTAATATCTTTATTACTTTTTCACGGAAAGGGAAGAAAATTACCCAATTTCTTACGTTAGCTTTCTCACAAAAGCAAGTTCATCTTCTAACTTAGAGAAGATATTGCTCTTCGAAAATCCCTCTTTTATTTGTGTATAATTATCACTAATACACATAAAGAAGAT